AAAGTTACTTGGTTAAATAAAGTGCACAGTAGAATTTCAGATATTTTCTAACTTGAATCTCTGCAACAATAATGCATGCCATTCGGCATCAAGAACTACATACCACAAATTGCTGCTGTGTACCACCCATTGAAGTACGTCGTTGGGTATCTTGATGTGCTCTAACTAGCAGTTGCACTAGTCTTGGTATTGCACCTTGTTCACGCAATGGAGCATGATTTGCTGGACAGAGAGCAAGATTGCGGATCAAGCCAACAGTAGCCTGCAAATGTATGGAACACAATTAAAAAAGGTAAATGACATGCTGCAAAATATTCTGGAATTTAGCTTTACAACCCAAGCCTTTGAAAATAATTTTAATTCATTGCATCCTTGTAATAGATTTCTTAGAGGTCAGCTAGATTTTGTTCACTTCATCCTCTCTATCTCAAACCCAAGACTATAGTGGTAATGTGGTTACCTAATCACCTCACCTTTATAAGAGGCCAGTGGGATGGTGGATGCAAGAGCTTAACCACCACTGGTAGACCATAATGAAGACGCACTGCATTTTGGGCCATTTCAGCTTCTTGATGCCGACTGGTGAGGTGGCGGAGGGCACAGATAGCTGGCTCAGTGATGTCTTCCCTGTCACCAGCACGGAGAACTGTGCGCACAAGAGCCTCAATTCCACCAACTTGGCACACCATCATTTTATTCTTGTAATTATTGCAAGTAAGATTAGAAAGGATGCCAGCAGCACAGGTCACAACATTGATATCATCTGATACCAAAAGCTGCACAAGTGTTCCTAGAAGACCTTCCATGCCTTCCTGTAAGAAGAGGTGCATTTAACATCAGCCTTTCTGTGAGAAATAGTAACCCTGAAATACCATATCCATCTCACCCCAGATCCATTTTTATTGCATTGGGGATTTTGGTTAAGACACCCTCACTTGTGGACTCTATCAACAAGGTAGGAGATTTTTTAGGCAGGACAGACACTGGCAGCAGGTTGGGGGGATGTGCAGTCCACAGTACATTGAGCACACATCACTGAAGTGGTAATAGGTGAGAAAAAGAAGCGAGCACTCAAAAAAACAACTTTCATTAGTTTGCAGCCTGCCATCGCAAAAGGTCTCTGTTGAGGGCGCAGGGCTGCAAGTGGGGGGAGATCCCCGCGTGCACACACACAAACACGCACGCAGGTCTGGGAGAAGTGAGCTGAGAGACACGCAGAGGTCTGTCAAGCGCAGAGGGAATGATGGGGGAGGGGGTCAAAATGGGAACCTCTGGCAGCTTAAAGGAAGGAATGAATGGAGGGAAGGAGGGAGGAAGGAAAGAAGGAGAGGCAACCTGGTTGGATATGCCCCAGTTCAAAGGAGAAAGCAATTTTGTGTTCTGTTTTGTCACAGACAAAACTTTGTTGGACATCCAATTTAAGATTGATAATCTTGAATTGTGAGCTCTTAGGAAAGTATCCCCTCCTTGTGTGTTGCAAACAGCCATTTCCAGTGGGGGGAAACAGGACAAAGCAGAGTGGGGAAAATATTTTCCTTTGCTATATTTTAAGTCTGAATTAGAACATGGCAGGGTCCCTACAGGAGAGCCCTTTTAAGGATTATGTATTAATAGAAAAGCACTTACCTGTGTTCCTAAATGCTAAAGCTGTTGCACATAAAAAAAACAGAGGAGCTCTGATCAACTATCACAGTACAGCCACAGCTGTACTGTTGTCTGTGGATGTCCCCACTAAATGCAAGCACTGGATAAACTGAGCCTGGTTTGTTCTCAGTCTTTTAAGTGGCCACAAGCTACTAGCAAAAATGGCATTTGATCACAGCAAGGAGGCATCGAGAAATGTTTCCCTTTTTGCATTTGAGCATCAAGAAGGGACAGGAAAGGAGAAAGGGAAAGAGGAAAGACAAAGAAAAAAGAAGGAAAGGGGAATAGAGCAAGGAAGGAAAAAGAAGGAAAGTGGAAGGAAAAAGAATGAATGAATAGGGAAGGAAAAAGAAAAGGAAGGAAATTATGAAAGGGAGGGAGGGTCTGAGAAAACTCCTGCCTTAGCACTTGGCCATCAGCATCCTTCCCTGTGTGTGACCTACACACTTTGCCCTCTCGCACACACCATGAGCAACCTGGCCAAGGAGAGCAAGCACAGCAGCAGCAGCCTTGAGGAGGAGGTAAGAGCAGCCAGACAGCCCCTTGGGCAAGGCTCCTCTGGTGGACAAGGGTTTGGCGCTCTCCCTGGTCTTACCTTCCTCTGCTGAAGACAATGGATCCTCCCAGCCCCACGTGATGTCGAGCTGACCATGCTCACCCAGCTCCCCAAGGTCAACCACAAGCCTGATGCGGCCCTCAATGAAATCAAGTTTGACACCCCTGCCCTATGACCTATCCACTATTTCAAATGATTTTTTTAAAAAAATCCTAATTTCAGTTTTGAGCAATGCCAGGCTATCAGGATCAACTCAATATAATAAAAACAATTTTCTAACAGATTAGTTTATAGTGGAATATTAATAATTTTTTCAAGTTCTCTCTCCTTACCTGCTTAGTTGCAGCATCTGAGAGATTTCTTAGAGTCCAGAGACAATTCTGAACAAGACGTTGGCTTGGATCTGTAAGATGGAGTCCCAAAGCTTGCATTCCACCTAAAGATCAGTTAGGATTTACTCTCATTTATCTTTATCTCAGCTCCTCATTATGGAGAAAACAATGTGCTTATAATTGCAAGAACAGTTATTTTCATACCTGTAGATATCAGGTTTCCAAAAAATGCCCTAATTGACTCATGAGCCTCAAGTTAAATTTCAAAAGAAAACCAGCCATTTATTAGGACCATTTTGGCAATACCTTTTTCTGCAGTCAGATCTTAGCCTTATTTGAATTATAGCTGAACTTTAGCCCTGTTCCTTCCCTCCCCTCAGTCTGTGTCATAAATCACATTCCCCAATGAGGTGCACCCCTCCCAAGTCTTCTGCGGTAATCTGAAATCCAACTTTAGCCAAAAGTATGTGTGGAATGCGCTCCCCCCTTTTCCTCACTATAACAACTTTAGGAGTTGACAGTAGACTGGTTTCAAGTAGCTATAATGAAACCATATACCAGCTATACAATACACAGGGAATCATGTACAATTCTAAGTCTCAGATCTAATTCAATTCACAATTCCCTATGTATACATGCAATAAATCCTCAACGTAAGATATGTACTTCTAACTCTAACACATTCCATATTTGACAAAGTGCCAAGGCCATGGTACACAGTAGTTATGATATAAATACGAGTTTGGGGTAGATCAAAATTGATAAAAATGTTAAAAACAAAAACTGCAATAGTAGCACCAAAAACCTTTTATAAACACTTTAACAGCCCTTACTAACATTTCCACTTTTGCCATCAATAGTTTTTGGTTTACCTAGCTTTCAACACTTTTGTCAAAAATAATACCTCTTGTTATTGATGCATTCCACCCAGTTTAGAACATCTTATATAGATGTTCATTGTACTACCTGCCCCCCACCCCAAAGGATATTTAAGTATTTTTTGCCTGAATGCAAAACAGAAGCAGTCCTTGATTCCATGAAAAATGAAGCACTTACCAGCTTCAACAATTGCTGGTTTGTTACTAGAGCAGACTGATAGCACTTTCAGCACTCTACTTGTGGTCCACAATAATTTCTCATAGGTATAAGTCCTCATTATGTTTACTAGAGCCTGGGGTCCACCACTTGCCAAAATAATTAGCTGCCAAACAAAAAAGTAATTAATAATTAGAGTGACAATAGGATAATTAGGATAGTTTCTAAAGATGGAATTGTAATCTCTTCAGTCTGACACTATTGTGTCATGCTGTCAGCTCATTTGTACATACAAAAGTAGAAAACCACATTTTCTCCTGGAATGTCAGAAGAGTAGTATATAAGGAGACCACCTAAGGGTTGACAATGGAGCTCCCCAGGCTTATGGTCCAGGGGGACTTCAATCTGCCATAACTGGATTTGTCCTCGGAAGCAGCCTGAGAGTTCATGGCCACCATGGGCCTATTCCAGATCATCTCTGTCCCAATACATACTGGATAGGATGTTCACATCAGAGTAATGGCAACATGATCTGGTGGTGGATCTGTCGTTATCCCCACTGTCATGGTCAGATCACACCCTGGTGCCCTCAAGATTCTCTTATGCCTCCCCCCTTCCACAGGGAGGCCGGTCCCATTAGACTGGTCTGCCCCCAGTGACTGATAGACCCATATGATGGGTTCCAGAGAGAAGTGGGGACTTTGCTGCACGGTCCTGCCGAAGCTCTGGTTACATCCTAGAACCTAAGGGTGGCCGAGGATTTGGACAGGATTCCTGTATGGCCTCTCTTGACCCATCGCTCGCAACACTCCCCATGGTTCACTGAAGAGCTGTGGGTTCTGAAAAGGGCAGACACACCTAGAGAAGCAGTGGAGGAAAATGGGGGATGAATCTGATTGAACACGACTTAGAGCCACAATTAAAGCCTACCTCATGGCAGAAAGAGCAGCAAAACACCATTATTTCTTTGCTCTTATTGTTTGCAGAAAATCACCTGATGGCTCTGCTCAAGCTCAGGTGATCACCTTAAGGGCCATGCAGAGGAATTTGTAGATCACCCGATAGACAAAGTTGCTTGGCTTCATTCCCAGTTAGAACCCAAGTGTGGTGCAGGTCCATTAGAGATACCTAGGGAAAGGTGTTACCCAGTTATCTGGGAACAGTTCAAGACTGTTAGACATGATGAAGTGGACAGGGTCCTTGATGCTGCCACAGTGCAACCACGTCAATTAATTCGCTGTCCTTTCTGCCTGGTGACAGCTTTTAGGATGGTGACTATCAGGTGGGTTGAGGCAGTGATAAATTATTCACTGCAGGAGGTTCATCCCCTTCTCAAAAAACCATCTCAGGCTCTTTTATGGGACAGAAACCACATTGGTTGCACTTCTCGATGATCTCTAGCAAGAACAGAATGGGGGTGGTACATCCGTTCTTCCTCTCCTTGACCTTTCAGTGACCTTCAATACCATTAACCATGGTATCCTTTTGGACCAGCTGTGGGATTTGGAGCTGTGTGGCGTAGTCTTGCACTGGTTTGGCTCCTTGGAATGAGAGGTCCAGTCCACAGCTGCTCCTTTGTGCTGTGCTCTCTCCATTGCTTTTTAACATCTGCATGAAGCCACTGGGTGAGATCATCCACCACCACAGGATGAGGTACCACCAATATGCTGCTGATACTCTAGTTCACATCTCCATCCCCAGAGACCCAAGTGATGCTGTTGCTGCCCTCTTGTGATGTCTGGAGGCTATGGGGGTCTGGATGGGGACAACAGGCTTTGGCTGAACCCTGGTAAGACCGAATGGCTTTGGGTGCATGAAGCTTTGCAGATCATCCTTTCCTGGATTGCAAGTTTCTGTGCTCAGGCACTCAAGCCCTGTTCGTCTCATACTTGGACTACTGCAATGTGCTCTATATGGGGCTACCCTTGAAGAGTATCTGGAAGCTACAGCTGGTGTAGAATGCAGCTGCAAGGACAGTTCTTGAGGCCCCTAAGGTGGCTCATGTTACATCACTGTTCCATGAGCTTCACTGGTTGACAGTTTTCTTCCAGGTCCAATTCAAGGTATTGGTTATCACCTTCATGGCATGGGTCCAGGTTATCTGAGGAAACATGTCACCCCAATGGGATTGGCCCACCCCACTTGTGCCAGCTGAAGGGGCATGGTGCAAATACTTTTGGTCAAGGAATTTAGCTGGCGAGATCCAAGAGAAGAGCTTTTTCTGCCATGGCTCCCACCCTCTGGAGCATCATGCCCCCCCCCCCCCCAAAGTGAGATCTGCACTCATCTTTTTGGCCTTCTGAAAGGGCCTGAAGACCTGACTCTGCCAACTGGTCTGGGGCCCCAAAAGGGGGCATGTCATTCTGGAGGTGGTTAATGAATAAGACCCCACCTTCTTCCTGTGCACATCTTGCTCCCTTCCTCTCCATCTTTGTCAATTTTAATTCAAATTTAATGTATCTATTCTTTTAATGTTTTATACTGGTGTTTTTATAATTGATTGTAAGCCGCCTATAGTCACCTTGGCAAGATGGGCAGCATAATATGAAGTCAGACCATGGCCAAACTCCCAATATTGAGAATACCGATGACAATAACTCTTCATACCAATGATTTTCTAATCCTACCTAGTATACTGTGTACGTATGAACCTGGGATTATCTGCATGTGAAACATGTGTTTTACTACTGACCTACCAACCCTCAAGGACTATTCCCAAGTCCAAATAATAGACACAAAAGCAGAAAATGAGGTTAGCTTACTAACATTTTACATGTGTCCCACTAAGGTTAATTGCCCAATTTAATATTTGTTCACTGCATAATAAGATTTCAAGCATTACCTTGCTTTCTTGATTACCATATGCAAGAATCTGAAGACAATCTGTTGTAATGGCCAGAAACTTAACATTTGTCTTGTTGAGCAAGGCAACCATTTTTTGTAGACCTCCAGCTAGACGGACAGCCATTTTGGCACCTTCCTGATGCAACAGAAGATTGTGCAGAGTAGTAATAGCATAGAAAAGCACAGAATCCACTGGAGACCTATAAAGAGAAAGTCAAATTAACAAATATCACACCCAAGGTCAACATATAGTGCATAAATACATAAAATCAATTAATTTACATACCCAAGCATTTTAACCAGAGCAGGAATACCTCCTGATTTGAAGATTGCCAGTAAGCCTTCAC